ATGTCCGTCATATGACGGATGAAAGCTTAGCACCTTTTCACCGGAATCGAAGGAGATTGCCTCGGAAACATCGTCAGCATGAATATTCCAGTAAAGCCAATCGAAGGCTGGTCAAGAGGAATCCGCCGTCGTCATCTGGCGGAACCGACCTTCGAATCTCTTCACCCAACACTTTCACTCGAAATGGAAGTAAACTCAACAATTATGAAACAAGAAATTCCTCGAAACCCAACTTTTCTTTGCATAAATTGCAATTCACTCCAGCCTGAATGACAATACTTTTCGGGAAAGCTTGGCCATGTATATTCAATGGAAACGCAAGTTCTACTCATCTGATTGTAGGAAAATTTAACGAAGTATTTTGAGTATAGCTTTTATAAATTTTTTATTTTACCACTTCTTCCACTTCTGATGGGGCGTTGTTGATACCCAGACGAGGTTGAAATTGCCATCCATTTAGAATCAGATTTCCTCTCGAGAAATTCAATGGCCACGTGAGGCCTATTGGTAGAATTGTGGGAAAATTCCCCATCAGTCCTTCATCAGCTCAGGCTACCTATTCTGGCTACAGTTTTTATTCAAGGTCCGGTGCTAGTCTTTAAAACCTACACACAAGCAATACCACGTCGATACTCACTTTCTGTATGATTATTTTTCGAAAACCACATCTGCTCTGTAATTCAATGACGCGCCTAATTATGTATCAAAGAAAACAGTTTGTGGTGCTGATGAGGCCTAGATTATGACGAAATTGCTGCCTACTTCATCGTGGGATAAGAATACATTTAGAGGTTGGACGAGGCGAAAGCAATTTCAATCACATCGTGAGACCTAGCCATGACAACTTTAGGAGAGCCTTTACCATCAGTCCTTAGATCAGCCCAAACGACAAACTAGGCACAAGTTTTTTGAGTAAAGTAGTCGCCCATCTTGACTCATGTCGGTGAGGTGAGCTGTAGCGATGGGCTTCTCAAACTAAGCTGCAATTAACAGGCACTTCATGCCTTACATCATGCTCCATTGGCTCGTTCGCACTGCCCTCCATTATCTCATTGTCGCATGAGTCACCACAAAGCTCGGATCGATTTCCCTTCCCGTGCCCAACTAGTACCGGACCTCGTGCATTAATGCATTCACACGCTTTTTGTACTCTAGTGCTACGGATACATTCTGCTCTATGCTACAAAGCATGGATAGACAACCTGATGAGAGATAAGGGCCGAATCACAATTAGGTTTGCATA